CATTTTTCTTTTTTATGTTTTTTATCTTCTTTATCCTTTATGTTATGTTTAAGTGTATAGTGCTCTATTCTGTGTAGGGTCTGCCATTTCCTGCTTCTTTCTGTCTGTTAGTAATCTTACTCATAGTTTCATATCCTTTTGTCTTTCTGTTTCAGGTAGAATACCCTCTTTTAGTATTTACTGTAATGTAGGCCTTGTGGTGGGAAATTCCCTGTTTCTGTGTATCTGGCAAAGTCTTTATTCTTCCTTCATATCTAAAGGATAACTTTGCAGGACATATTATTATTGGCTGGTAATTTCTTTCAATGATTTGAATATTTGATTCCACTCCCTCCTGGCTTGTAGAGTTTCTGCTGAAAAATCTGATGCTATTCTAATGAGCTTTTCTTTGTAGGTCACCATCTTTTTTTTGCTGGCTGCCTTGAGAATTCTTTCTTTGTCACTAATTTTGGACAGCTTCAATAAAATGTGCCTTGAAGAAGGCCTGTTCAGATTGAGGTAATTTGGTGTTCTGTTTGTTTCTTGGATTCGAGGATCCAGTCCTTTCCATAGGTGTGGGAAGTTCTCATTTACTATTTGTTTGAATAGACTTTCTGTTTATTTCTCCCTCTCTTCTTCTTCTGGTATACTCATTATTCTTATATTCTTTATGATGGATCAGAAAGCTCTTGTAGAGTGCTTTCATTTCTTTTAACTCTCAAGTCTCTCTCTTCTTGCATCTGTGTCATTTACAGATTTCTATCTTTGATATCACTAATTGTTTTCTTTATCTGATCAGTTCTATTTCCTAAACGTGCTATTTCATACTTTGTCTCTTTTATTGAGTTCTTCAGCTCCAGAAGTTCTATTTGGTTCTTTTTACAATTTCAATCTCTACGGTAAAATATTCATTTTGTTCATTGATTTTATTTCTGAGTTTATTAAACTGCCAATTGAGTTTTCTTGCATCACACTGAGTTTTCCAGAACTGTAGTGTTGAATTCTTTTTCATTTAAGTCATATATTTCCATGTTTTTAAGTTTATTTTCTGGAGGTTTTTCATTTCTTTCTGAGCTGCCTTGTTACCCTGGTTATTCATGGCAATTAATGGACTATTTCTCTTCCTGGGAATTTACAGGAGTGAATTCTGCAGCAGGTTGATATGAAGAGGACTTTCTTTTGTTTTCTAGTAGGTAGCACTGGGGTGTTTTATTTTTTTCTTGCCCTGTTTTGGCTTCTCACACAGTGGAAGATTTCCTGAGGAGGCAGGCTTCTTCTCTATGACCAGGTCACCTCTGTCTCAGGGCATCACCCCTGTGGAAGGATGTGGTAAGTGATGGGGTTCTGAGCCCCTGAAATCCCAGTGCTGTCTCCGCTGCCAGATGCAGAGCTGTGTGCCTCAGCAGTCCTAGGTGCCACCACTGGGTTCAACCATAAAAGGTGGGGGGCAAGGTGGCCTGGGAGAGGCAACTGGTGTGTTTGTGGCTTTATTCTCCTCCGAGTCATGGTGATTACCAGACCACATCTGCCTTGCCCCTATAGCTCCTTCCTTGTCACTGGAATTAGCCACAGTGTCTATCTGCCACTCAGGAACTGTCTCTCCAGTTCTCAGGGCTGTAGATATTATGCTTTTTAATCTGATACTGCTACCATTTTTTTCTGGAGCCTGTGGCTAATACTGAGAGGATGTGTGGAAGGTGAGCTCTGGAAAGATGAGGGAAGGCAGCCAGACTCCATTTTTCTGCCTGGCAGGGGGCGGGGGGGCTATTAGACCGCAGTTGTCGCACTTCTGTATTCTATCTTTGCCCTGAGATCTCTGCCTCAATCACTGGGTTCCCTCATATTATATGCTGATCCCTCAGGCAGCAATGCTCGGGGCCACAGAGAGTACACCTGCAGTTTCAATCCTCTCCCCTCCCTGGACGGCAGTGAGCCACGGGTTGCATTTCACTGCCCACGTCACTATACTTCTCCCTTCCCTCTTCCCTTGTTTGCCCAGATTCGCCCACCTTCAAGTGTTTCAATGCGTGGATCTCTCTCTCAGATGTGTTTGTGTGTTGCACAGGGAATCCTTTGTTGAATTATAGCTGTTCAACTTGTAACTTCAAGGAGAGATCAGGGAGCACCCCCCAAGCCACCATGTTCCTGTGACCTGCCTACATTGCATTTTTGATTTTCATCTTTTTACCTTACTTTTCCAAGCCCAGACTAAGAACAACACTTTCTTATGATAGGTATATTACTTCTTTTGGTGTACAGCTACCCCAGAGGGGTTATTTCCTGGACTAAAAATAAAGTCTGTAATTATTTTGCTTTGTTTATGATTTAAATGATTAAATACCCTTTTCCTGCCTTCTGTGTCTATCTCAGAAAAAAAAATGCTAAAGAAAATGCAGCAGCACTAATGAAATCAATTGTGTTCAAACTGGCCATTTTAACAATTTACTTGCTAAGGTTTGGGGAGAAATGAAAAGAAACTCTTGCATGGAAAAATAAGTGGTGACTCCCTGATTTTATCTTCATACTTAATAATTATCTTGCTGAAAAATAACCAAAATTGGCTGAAAATCTATGAACAATGCCACATATTATATGCACAACCCATCTATCATCAATCACAAATCATGTCCCTCTCAAGGGCCTGCAGTTCTAAGCTGGACTCATCTTCTACAGTCAACAAAATCCTCTACTGTGGATCTCAATTATGCAATTACCCAAATCTTATAGAAAACATGCAAACTTAGTAAAGGAATTATCTGAATTAAGGTCTCCTCACACTTTCTAAATCATACTTCTTTCATTTTGCCACAAACATCTTTGTAGAATGTCATTATAGTCATGAAGAATCAGGTTAGTTTTAACCTTCACAAAATAAATATTTTAAGCTGAGCCAATGAGTTAGAATTATTAAATTAGTAGGGAAATAACTGGTCTTTACACACACACACACACACACACACACACACACACACACCCCTCCACATAATCGATACACCAGTAGTTTCTCACAATCCAAAGGGAGGACAATGACACTTTGACCAGAGAATTTTCTTATCTTTCTAATTTCTTCAATTAGAAAACAAGGAAACAAAAATCACACGGAAGGTTTTGCACCCTTAACTAGAATGAATCATACATTTATGTACGTTGTAATTATTTTTCTCATAAGTTTCTTATTGGAAGAAGCATTTCAAAAGTGCCTTCTGTACCCCAACTCCTTTCCTACTTGACTAGATGGCCACTCAGTATCAAATCTGAAAAGTTATTCAGAGGGTGATTTGGTGTTTGAAAAGTAGTTGTATCGTAAAGTAGAAAACAAGGGTTCTGCGTGTGTGAACTCTCCAACTGATTCTTCAGCTATCCCCCTTTTGATAAGTTAAAAATATATATAAAGCTTTGGGTCTTATAAAAATATCTTCAAAGGAGAGTGAATGAACTGATGACAGATGTGTCCACAAAGCATATCAGGAAAGTATTTTGTGTACAATTACCAACTTTAGTTTTCTGTCAGAACGAGGCTTCTCTTTCTGCTTATCTTTTACTGTCTAATAAATTAAGAAATTTTAAATAGTCTTCAAAAATAAATTTTAAAGATCCCTTGAAAATAGAGTTCAAAGAACTTTTTAAAAATAAGTTTAAAGATACTTTTAAAATGAATTTAGTAGCTCTAAATGCTTGGTACTAGATACTAAAGCATAACCTATCTCATCACCAGCTCATGCCTTTTATTATATGAAAACCTGTTATAAATACACACAGTTTGTAAATGTGCTCACTGGCATATTTGGCAAAAAAATAGATGGGTATGTATGTACTGTACTTGTGCAGGTTGGAGAATTATACCCTTTGAAGCACATCCACATGGTGTTTAAGAGCAATGACAAATAATGTAGTGTTTGCACCACCAAAATAAATGAGAAAGAAAACTGAAGATACTGGCTTTTCAATGTATTTTCAAGGGGAAAATAACTATTTAAACATGCCCATTAACCCTTATCAATCCAATTTTTGAGCCAAGCAGGACTCCTCTCTGAGAACGAGTTGAACAAACACCTCAGTCCAACACACCAATGCAACAAGTTCTTTCTGTTTGGAATTGTGACTTTCTGAAGATGATTTAACCTTGGCTGTATCTGCAGATGTGAAATTATAAACCACACCATATTAGTTAAGATAGTATAATGGTCAACAGCACAGGCTGTATCATCAAATTCTGAATCCAACAGCTAGTACCTGTATATCTTTGGGCATATGAGCATTTCTACCCCTCCATTTCTTCATCTAAAATGGGGTTCTGTAATAGTGTTAGGTATATCATCATCCTCTTCATCATCATTTCCCAATGATGATCCCAATTTAAAGGATTTTAATCTAAGAAAACAGATTCAGCCAATTGTAAAAGCAAACTAATTTATTAGCATTTGTATTGTACCAGTTTCTGTGATGACTCCAAAATTCATTTTGGCACTCATTCAATTTCAATAGATATAGCAATTACAATTAACACTTCTCTTACTAACAAAGCAATGACTTGCTAGCACATGCACTAAGCATTTCATATAGGTTATTTCATTATATCCTCACAATGACCTTGAGGTGAGTTTATTATCACCCCTATTTAACAGATAAGGAAACTGAGGCTTTGAGAGTTTAAATACTAATCTAAGCTCATCTAGTAAAAAAATGCATCTGTGATATGAACCCAGGCAGTCTGCACCCAGAGCTTTCAGAACTAATCTGCTTATAGTCGTTTTCTTTATTAACATATCAATGCTAAAAATTTTTGAAATACCATCAACTAATAGCTAAATAAATTTTGTTTAATTCCAAAAGATGTGCATTAAAATATTATACTGTAATCTGAGAATCAATGAGTTTCTAAATAACAGGTTGCCATTTTATAACAAAACCACACTTCAAATATCCAAATTTCACAAGTTGTTTAAAATTTTCACTGAACCAAGCTAATGCAAGACCTCAACAGTAAAACTTAGAGGAGAAAAGAAATCAAAATTGTTTACCTGTTACTTGAATTGAAGGGAAGAAGTTGAGAATCAGGAGCAGCCTCAGGATCATTGTGCTAACAGTGGGCCAGGGCTGCAGCCCCTCCTCCCCGAGGAGCCCAAAGTGTGAAGTGGGCTGAAGATGCACCTACTGAGGCCTCAGAGTCACGGCCACCTGCAACTTACTTCACTCAGGGCGCATGATCAAGGGTACTCAAACCACAAGACATCGTGACGGCAGCATTTCACACAGGATATTACATTGTTTTGATGACTTCAGACTTTTCTTCTAAAGGCAGGCTTTTCTTGCCACCAGAAAAGAAGAATCAGTTCCTCTATGATGGGCTCATGAAAATTATTCTCTATGGACAGGAGCCAGAGCTGTGAAAAATGGGTGCTTGGAATCCAGCAGGAACTAAGGGGCATACAAACAAGGTGTGCTACAGGAGAAATAAAGTCTCTCACAGAGGGGAGATTTGCAGAGGATAAGGATCGATTGTGTCAAACAGACAACAATAAGAATGACACTGAGGATTTGGGAAACATCCGTATCAGTGGTGAAAGGAGTCGTAAATATTAGAAATTGAACTTTTGGGTTGGACATAGGTAGCCCTATGGAGCATTTAGCACATACTCCTTAGTTTATGCCAAGCCTCCCCCAACTCACTTCTAGGAACTATGAGAAACACACCCCACTTGGAAGCATCCAACCCACTGAAGAGAAGAGTTTCCCCAACTAAAGGGAAAGTTTTTAAAAATCGCATGTCCTTAAGGAGACAGTAAGTTGACCAAATGTCCCTTGGCATCTTCTACTCTCTGTGTCCCTTAAGAAATCATTCAAAGTTAAGGGACAGGCAGGAAGGGAGACTCCAAACAGGCTCCCAATGCTGGTTGCCACGTCCCTGCAGTCCTCTCCCCCTCGTCAGGCCTCTGCATTTAGGGTCATTCCACTGATGTAGCCAACTCCGCGCTCCTCTTCTGGCGCCTGGGTCAGGGCCTTGTACTTGACAGCTTTCTCAAAATCTTTCCAGTAATTTTTTTTCTGCTGTCTTGAAAATCTAAGCTTTATATGATTACCCTAGTTTTGTGTTGGTGTATGTGAGGTTCTTTTTAAAGATAATTTGTATTGCTTTTTATTCCTAATATAAAAGTAGGAAATATTTCATATCAAAAATTTAGAAGAAGATACATTTACATTTTTTAAAAGTTAAAAATAATCATTAAAACAAAAGTTTCCCATAATCTTAACACCCTGATATAAACACTTTCAATATTCTGGTCCATTGCTTTCCATTTGTTTTTCTATTAGGATTTTTACATACTTAATATCATGTTTTATTTGTAGTTTTCAACAGACATATACTATTATCTATTATAGCTTGCATATTTTTCCATGACATATAAGTATTTATAAACATCATTTGTAATTAATGCATAATACTCCATCCTATAATCATATAAATTGCTTAAGAATCCCCCAGTATTATTACCAATATTTTGCTGTTTAAAAAAATGCCCCAGTGAACATCTTTGATGACCTAGCTGTAAGTGGAAGAAGACTTCATGTCCCTCCCTCCTCATCTGCTAAATGACAGATAAAAACTGTTTCCTCTCCTGATAAGTGCCCTTTATCCACATTTCAATTTTCTCACAAACGCCATCTTTGTGACCCTCCCATACTAACACGCCTTTCTCCTCTTTGAGAAATTTGTCCTTGAAAATGATTCACTTGCAATTCTGAACTAAACATAAATAATGAAGTTATGCCCCCAGTCCTGGAAAAAAAAAACACCTCTAGAATTTGACCCAGTATACCTGGCCCTGACCCTCTATCCAATTAGTGGGACCTGTATCTTTCTGATGTCTTTCCAAGGACAGTTTAAAGAAGGCAGAGTGCCCTTCTCTAAAAGGTTTCCCCTATTCTGGAGCCACTGGACCACCCAGATCTAGAATGAGAGGCTCTGAAACTCATCATAGAGATTAAGAATATGTACAGTAAAAACAAAGACTTCCCGGACTTGCTTATGATTCATAACAAAAGACTAAAGAGCAAATTAATAAGTGTCTTCAAGCATGTAAAAGATGACTGTATAGTATCTAGTTAACATGATGTATACGGTAGTGCTTAATTAAGTCAAACTTAGCTGGAAAGAAACAGTGCAATTATCTGGTCTAACTTCCTTTATTTTGCAGAGGAGGAAGCTGAAGCCAGAGAGGTTAGCTGATTTATACAAACGCACAAAACAATAATTAAGTGTACTTAATTTTATTACTTGACTAACCTTATTTAGTTTTCATTCTTTAGAGTAAAAGGAAACACAAACCTTTACATTTGCCTTCCTTTTTTTAAACATGTATCACACTAAAGAAGCAAATCATTTCATCAGGGTCCTTTCACATTTGCTCCTGAAATTCAATGGCATTTACATATTCTAAGGAGTAGAAATGATAGAAATGAAATAAGGGACCTTAGATCCATCAAGGCACAGAATAATGAGGCCCTGCTGCATTTTCCATACTAAAAATAGCTAGCATGTAAGGACCAAGCACTTTATATGCCTGATCTCATTTAACACTCACCCAACCTGTAAGGAACATGCTATTATTATCCCCATTTTACAGATGAGAAAACTGACCTCAAGAGAGAATTAAGAAGTCTCAGGAAGGAGTGGAACCAACATTAGAATCTAGATATTTTTAATTTGAACTGCTATGTCCTAATTTATAATACATTATTATACTGCCTCCCTACTGTCAAGTTTCTCCAGTATTGTAAATTCTGGATAGGGAATGTGCATTACCTTTCTGTTACAAGGCATCTACATAACGTCTTATTGGATCCCATGTGACTGGAGTGTGGAAAGGACAAGGGGTAGTGAGTGGCCCAGGATAGCACTGAGGAGACATAATTGAACTGTTTCGTAAAAATGCACCTGGATATTTCTGCAGAAATTCCAGATCCCTTAAATCTACACATGATCTTGATGTGTGGATGGTCTTGATGTTTGTGATGAAACAAACAACCTTAATCAATCAACTGAAGTCCCAACTACATGGCTTGTCAGAGAAAAAATATAATACAAGTGACCAAATTCTGTAGGCTGTTTGAAACATAATAGGAACTAAGCCTGGGGGTAAGACCCTGTGGGTCAGCTCCTCAGAGAATTTAATGTTGTGACATAATAAAAAATTTGTATTTTGGTCTTCATCCTTGGCTCCTGGCAAGAGCTCATAAAACCCTTGTAATTTCCTAATCATTAAAGGTTCTAGGAGCATTTTGTTCTCATATTTTGTCTTTGACCTCAGTTCCTGACACAGGGCTCTCAAATTTCTTGGAATTTTCTGGGTGATAGGAGCATCTTTTGTTCTAATGAGGTGACTGTTGATAGGCTCCTGGATAGCTTCAGGATGGGGGCTGGTCACAAGAAAAATCAAGCCATGATTAGAAGCTTGAAACTTTCAGCCCCGCCCCCTATCCTCTGGTAGGGGAGAAAGACTGCAGACTGATTTAATATTTGATCATGCCTACATGATGAAGCCTTTATAAAAATCCCTGAACTAAAGGGTTTCATGAGCTTCTGGGTTGGTGAACACATCACAGGCTTGGAGGGTGGTGCACCCCAACTCCACAGGGACAGAAGCTCCTAAGCTTGGGGCCCTTCCAGATCTCGCCCTATATATCTCTTCATCTGGCGGGTCATTTGTACCTTTTTATCATATCCTTTATTACATAATAAACTGGTAAGCGTAACTTAGTGTTTTCCTGAGTTCTACAAACTATTATAGCAAATTATTGAACCTGAGGACGGGCTCGTGGGAACCCAATTTACAGCCAGTTAGTGAGAAGTACACGTGACAACCTGGAATTTGCAATTGGCATCTGAAGTGGAAGCAGTCTTATGGGACTGAGCCCTTAACTGGTGGGCTCCAGCTAGTGTCAAAACTGAATTAAATTATAGGCTACCCAACTGGTGTCAGAGCATTGGTGGGTGTGGGGAGAAAAAAACACACATTTGGGGATACCAAATGGCTAAAAGCACAGGACTTGAAGTCTCACAGGCTTAGGGGTCAAATCCCAGTTGGACCACTTTGTAGGCATATGATTTTAGAAAGTCATAGCCTCAATTCCTCATGTGCAAAATGAGGATGAAAACATCTTATTCGATAAACATCTCACACAACATGTAAATCTCCCCACCCTCAAGATAGAAATAAGATTTAATGAATCTCTCCATTCTTATTATAAGGGACTTAATAAATATTTGTTGAATCCACCAAAACTAATCATTGAATATATATGCTTATATATTCATGTGGATTGATTGTACTTCATAGCATGAGTGCCACCAGAACCCTGTTTTAGAAATCAATCAATCTAGAATTATAGTAGTCAGCCCAGTCAATGATGAGAAGCCCTTTGTCTATCTCTAACTAACATACAGCAAGCCTCCCAGGATAATGTCGTCTTTGATCTACATCCCATCTAGAAACTTGCCTTTCAGTTTAGTTCTTAAGTTCCCGAAAGCTGTGCCTTACAGAGGTTCAAAAGCTCACATGGTGTTTGTGGGAAGATAATGAAGCCTGAGATTCTCTCCTTGAGCTGTGCAGTATTACCCCAGCTGTCGGTAGGAAGGACTTATTCAAAAAATAGACAAAGAGGAAGTTAAGAAAGTTATGCATGTTAACACAAACCAGCAGGACCAGAGCCAACCCTCCTCCCCACAAAAAAAAATATTATGCTATGCTGAAAAGAAATGAAAAAGCAAGAAATAACTCCCATATTGATCAATTAATCACATTGAGTAAACAAATTACAAAAAGATATTTGCATGAATGACCTAGAAGGCTTTATCAAGGATTATATGAAAAATATAGTGAAAAGTAGCTTAAAACGATTACCTAAAAACCTTTGACCACGTACAGAGGCAGGCCTACCGCTCGAATTGATAAAAGCAGTAGCTAACATTTCCTGGAGGCTTCCTGCTAGCAAATAGCGTGCTAAGTATTATGCATACATCATCTCATTTAATCTCCACAACAACCCTAGGATGTTGGTACTATTAATACCTCCATTTTATAGGTAAGAAAAGAGAGGCTTAGAGAGGTTAAGTAATTTATTCACAATCACACAGTAAGTAGCAAAGCAAGGATTTGAACTCCATTTGGTCTGACTCCAAAAAGTAGAACTGTAGATTCAAGTATCACGGGAGAAACAGACACAATCCCAATCAACCAACAGCTGGAATATGTGATTGATAGTGCAGTGGTTAGGAACGAGGTTTTTAAAGAGGAATACATCTTCTTACTAGGCATATCTGATCTTTAGCACCAACTTCATAACAATTCAAAAAGAATTCTATATGTGACTTGCAACATCTTCTTTCAGTCAGGAGGTTCTCATGACTTCCCTGCTGGCCCTATACTCATGCAGACCCAGTCAAAAAGAAGAAGCAAAATTTGTGTAGTTTCACATCATCCTAGAGGAATTAATGCTGATGAGAACAGGAATTTGTGTAGTGTCAACAAGGATCCATCATGCACCCGGGCAATGCTGATCTGAGCTTTAGTACAGTTCCATGACAACAAGTTCATTCATTTGGTAATCTGAAAAAAAAATGCAGAAAGGGAGCGAGGAATACAGAAAACACCCATCATCATCATTAA